CCACACCTGCTTTTTGGGGTGACAAATTTAAGGTCCAAAACACTAAAGTGAGTCACCTAAGTGGCAGAATTAGGCTAAATTCCATATCTCTTGATTCTTACCCTACTGAAGGCTTACTTAACAATCTATGAACCTGGTGCTATACTGGTATGCAGGACATACCTAATATTTTGGGGGCCTTAACCACGTGCTAAGTTCTACACAAGCGCTTTAACCTACATGAACTCACTTAATCCTTACAGGAGCCCTAAGGCAGACACGATCCACATTTCACAAGACAAAGAAGCTCAAGTGAGAGAGGTTAAGTAACTTGCACAAGGTTAAAGAGATAGCAGGGTGCAGAGTCAGGATTCTGAAACCATCTTTCTGAATCCAAAGTGCAAGATCTGAGCCAATGCGCTCTGAACGTCCTTAAGGTACAGGCTGCACGTCCCTTCTGAAAGCCCAGTTTTATTTTTCTAATTAAAAGAGCATGCATGATGTGAGGGCTTTTCTCGAATCCTGATGCAAACAAATTAACTACTTAAAGAGACCAGCTGCAAAATTTGTCCACTGACTCCTTGCTTAGTGATACTAAGAAAGGTGTGATAATGGTATTGTGGTTTTGTTAAAAACCAGTTCTTATCTTTTACAGACAGACACACTGAGTGTTTACAGATGCTTCAACATCATCTGGGAGGTCAGGGTGGGTACAGAACAAGAGTGGCCCTGTGTTGGTTGGTTGTAGAGGCTGGCTGATGGAGACATGGGGTTCATTATTTTCCCTACTTCTATAAATGTTTGAAATTTACAATTAAGAAAAAAATGCATGATTAAAAAAACTAGAAAAAACACGATATTAACAGTATTTGGGAAACAGAGCTATGAAAGATTCCCCCCCTACACATTTTCTGTATTACTTTTATAATGGAAAACACAAACTATTTAAAGAAATTCTCTGTATTTTCTCTAAATAGGCAGAGCAAAACTGCCCGTAATCTGTCGTATAAGTACCGCGCGCTAACCAATTGCGCCACTGGAGCTCCGGCCAAAACTGCCCGTAATCTAAGAAGGTCAAAACATCATGACAAAAGCATTTCCCATCTCTTCACCAGTTAACTACTTTTTAAAAACTTTTAGAAAGGTCACTTTGTAAGGGTAAGTAAGATCTTCAAATATAAATTAGCCAAAAGCATAACAGCACGTAAGAGAGAAATAAATTAGAGGACGATTTAACAAATACAACTAAATATACAATTCCTTTCAATAGTTAGCATTGGTCAAAGACCTTGATTGTGTAGTAATGCTGACTTTCCTAAATGGTCAAAAAGGCCACAGGCTAGGGATCTCCTTAGCCTATGGTGTGGTCAGATGGGGACCGGACTTAGCCTCAGCTTCCAGGCGAGCCAGCTGTCTTCTGCGGGCACCCTCCAATTTTCCTCCATGAAACAACATTTCCACATGTACCATGATATGAAAAAGTTTGGCAAGTACTGGTCTAAGCCAGACCTGCCTTGAGCATCACTCAAAAGCCAAATGAAATGCTGACATGGAAAAAACAACTAACACCGATATTATGGGTTATAACACAATGTTTCAGAAGACCACTGCTTTCTAATTTTTTTTTCCCTATCTGCACTCCCTCTCATGCCCCATATTGGGGAATCTTACCGTCTATTCCAGCACCATTCAATGAAGTGACCTTCAAATATGTATGTTAGCTCAGTGGCATAAGGTTAAACTCTGGGGACAAGAGCAGAATCCTGATTCTCTGTGCTTATGCTAAATGTATGCAAGCTAAGTCTGAAGTAAGTTCCACTTGTTAAGAAAGGACGTAAGTGTCAATGGAAAAATCCTCAAAGAATAGAATGTTGGAGTTCTAAGGATCTTCTTTTAAAGACAAAAAACTGGGGCGCCTGGGTGGCTCAGTCTTGTTAAGCCTTTGCCTTCTGCTAAGGTCATGATGCCAGGGTTCTGGGATGGAGCTTGCATCAGGCTCCCTGCTCAGTGGGAAGCCTACTTCTAACCTCTCCCGCTCCCCCTTCTTGTGGTCTCTCTCTCAAATAAATAAATAAAATCTCTTTAAAAAAAAAAAAAAAAAAAAAAGGACAAAAAAACCGAGCCCAAGTTACTTGTTCAGGTTCACAAGCAGCTAAGCTGGGACTAGTCCCCAGATCTCCCAGCTGCCAGTAACTGCACTTTCCAAGACATCTCCAAGGAGTTCCTGCTAATTCCCTCTTTGAATCTAAAACCAAAAACCATCCAAGTACTTCTTGCTCTTCAGGGAACTGAACTCTTGTTAGTCTGCAACTTACAAATCATTATTTGAGAAGTCAGAATCTAACTTCATGCCACTTATTAATCTTAAATTTGTGATATTTAAACACAAGTTCCTTTATTAGTCACTCTTTGTTTATATTTGTGAAATTACAAGGTCATCTTGTTCTTGGACGCTTCTGGAAATAGCCTCAAAAACGAATTATGAAGTACTTCTTTAAATAGTTATGTGGAGGGGACACACAACGATATATCAAAATCTGTGTAAATAAATCATGTTTGTAGAACGAAGGCAACACTAGACACCACTAATAGAATTTTCTTCCTTCTACTGAGAAAACAGTACAGACAAGAGGAGTCCCCAAACAAAAGGAGAATGTGACACGTGTTGAAGTTGGAAAGTATGTAAGTACAGGAAAATTAATTGCCTAAAATAAAATCAATTGAATGACAAAGGGAAAAGAGGCAATATAGCATTAAAAAAAAAAGACAGACAACATATTTGCATAAATTCCTGTATATGCAGAGAGCAACTCTAACCACATGCTTTAAATATTAAGATATAACTTCTGTACCCATATTGGATAAAGTTGTATTATGATAAAAAAAAAAAAAAACAACCTTTGAATTCTTCTTTCTCTAGAAGAAAAAATTGACCAGTGTTTTTATTCTTAGGCACTGTAGTGTGTACCTTGGGTTACCCTGAAACCCAAGAACACAAGTTCTGTGTCACCAAGCATTGACATCTGAGTTGGTTCTTCATTTGTTTCATACCACAGAATGCCAATTCTGCAAGAACACGTGTCATTTCTGGAATGCCATTAAGCACAGGTTAAGGAAGGAAGAGCCCTTATACAAAATCATAAAAGTCCTATACCTAAAACAAATTTGTAATTAATGTAATGATATAAATTTAAATCTTGACATTCACATTTCAGAGTCCTTGGAAAAGGAGGCTTCACCTTACCTGTGAATTTGCCAGGAAAAGAAAAAGAGAGAGAGAGAGAGCAGTTGTGTCCCAACCTCCCTTGGGAATTCTTTGAATTTATATCCTGATCATCTGTCTTATTACAGAAACATACATACACAAACCTTCCTCCCCACTCTTTACAAATACATTTACTCCTACCTCCATTCTTCAGATCAAAAGCAGACAGAGAGAAGACAATGCAAATGTTCGACACATCTAATATACGTCTGTGAACGCACTGCATTCATCTAAAGAATGAATATTTGTGGGTTTACTCTGTGCCTAAAGTGGGGATTACAAAGAAACCATGAGTCTTCAAGGTACTCAAGACTTCAGCTGCAGCTGCCAACCACACATCCTGACTTGTATTCATAATCAGTTCAAACGCAAAGAACAGTACAGTGTAAGGAGAAAGATCACGGGATAAAGCATAACCTCTTTACTGTTCCCCTAGCCTGCAGCATCCCGGCTGAATCTGTCCTGCATTCGACTGCCAGATTCATTTCTAGGATTCAAGGAGTCTCTCTCCTGCTCAAGAAGCTTCAAACACTCCTCATTACTTATAACATCTAGCTCAAACTCTTCTTCGACTTAAGAAGTCTTCTATAGGTTTGCTCCACTCACCTGTTCAACTTCACTCGTGCTCAATATGGCTCCCTTCTGCCAATCCCTTTCGGAGAGGTAAGTCGCAAACCTAATTCCACTACCTACTGGAACTCCTCACGGAGCCTTCATTCTCAGCAGTCTTAAAAAATTGTTTCCTCTAGTGTCGGTACAGATCCATTAGTTTCTGAACATCCCTTCGGAACTCGCCATTAGGTTTCTTAACAAATGGCAGGTATGTCCCAAGGTATTTTTCACATTAGCACCCCAACCAGAGGTTCATCTTTCCAGACACCCCTCGGTGAAATCAGAGGGAGTCGCTTGCAGTTTGGGCATGGGAATTCCAACCGTGCACCTTGGAAGAGAGGGAGAGAGGGTTTGGGGTGGTTGCAAAGTAGGAAGGGGGAAACACGAAGGAAGCATAAAAGGGAGGGGAAGGTCCGTGCTCTTTACCGTATTTTCAGTCTTGGTCTTTGGAAGGAGCGGGGAGAGCGTAAGGAGAGGAGACTCCAAAAAACCCAAGGTGTTCCCTAGGTAGGAATACGGGCTGGGGGCCCCCGGATAATGGAAGGGTTCCCATCACCCCTGGGAGAGAAGGACAGGTTACAACCTGAAACAAAGAGGAGGTGAGGAGTGGAGAGCCTACAGAGATCGGGCATCTCCGAAGGTCGAGCGGCAAGGAAATGAGAGGTGACACGACGCGTTCCCTCAGGGGGCTGGCCGGACACCAGGGATGTGGTTGCCAAGAGGGACGAGGTAGGCGCCTAAGGCGGCTCTGGGGCGAGCGTTTATGGGGCATCGCTTCCACGGGGCGCGGGGGCGGGGAAGTGTTTTTGAGTGGGGTCTTCCCGCACAGGGAGAAAAGAATCCCGGTGCAGTGGTCTCTGAGAACAGAAGCCCCGGAGACGCGAAAACGTTAAAGCGTTGAAGAACCGGCATTTCCTAGCCCCAGCCCTGCTTCCCTACACACTCACCGAGTCTCCTCCAAACGCCACCGCTCCAGCTGCAGCTACCGGCCGGCGCAGCCGCACTGAGCGCGCACCACCCCACGTGACTCGGCCCAGAGCCCGCCCCCTCACCCTCCACGTGATCCTCAGGACCCGCCCATACCCTCCTGCCTCTTGCCCCTCTTCCGCGCGGGGTCTAGATACGCCCCTCCCCTTTTGACAAGATGGCGGCGCCTACCTCTAACGTGCCTCGTCTCTGGGTCTGGGGTTCCAGGCAGCGTTTGGGGAATGTCTTTAGTCTCGTCTCAAAGCCATTTTGTTCGGCCGCTGCTGCGTCTGGGACCATGAGTGCCCAGCGATTAGCGGAGAAGCTCCGAGCCCAGAAACAGGAACAAAAGACGAAGCAGCCGCCGGTGAGTCCGAAAGGACCACAACTCCCAAGAGACAGTACGTTCCCGGGTTCTCCGGCTGGGAGTGAGGTGGGAGGGTCCGGACAGATGTTAAGGAAATGTGGAGGATCTGTGGAAGAACGGGGAGAAAGGAAAGGGAAGAGATCAGTATGGTACCGTATCTTCCTGCGGGCTGGGTCTTTGGCTCCTGCCGGCCTCAGCCCTGAGCACTGCGTGGAGATAGGTAAAACAGACATGCACCGCCGCTCTCAAATTATTCCGGGAAGGCGCGAGTCCGAAGCAGAAATAGTCATTCCCAACCCAAATTGTCACCCAAACTTATTGAAAGTCTTCACCAGTCTTTTCCTGGCGCTCCTTCTCTCCCCGTAGGTGCCCACAAGCCCTGTTCAGCGGAGAGTTCAAGAACTAGTGCGGTTCACAAAGCAGCTGCAACGAGTCCACCCCAACGTGCTTGCTAAGGCACTGAGCCGAGGGATTGTGCACCAGGACAAGGATCTCGTGGTCATCAATAAACCTTACGGTCTCCCTGTGCATGGTAAGGACCACGTGGGAGAGGGAGGGGGTGCTTCTGTTTTCACTAAAATTAGGGACAACTCTGACACATTACTTGTGGGGCTCGAAGACTTGCATTCAAAATAATTAAGCTTTTGTAGAGTACTATATAAGGCACTACTGAAGACAGAGATATAAAAGACAGTCTCTGCATTCCAAACATCTGGCAGTCAGCAGTGATTTTTGGAATGCACTGTGTCCAGACCTCCATGGAAATTTTTATAGAGAAATACTAAGGCTGTGTGGTTCTTGTCTTCATGTTATGTTCCATCAAAACTGGGAAGGAAGAGGGGCACCTGGGTGGCTCAGTCGGTTATGCCTCTGACAGCCCAGTGTCAGGCTCCCTGCTCAGTAGGGAGTCTGCTTCTCCCTCTCCCACTGCCCCTCCCCTCTGCATTATACCTCGCCCTTCCTCATTCCCTCTCTCTCTCAAGTAAATAAATAAAATAAAAAAAAAAAAAAGAACCAGAAAAGAAGAAATGACATATAAGAAAAAAATAGATAGCACTTAATATATTAAGGTTCAGATCATTTCCCCTTCTGACAATGGCATCACTATATTTTTTGCCTTTATTCATAATTTTCCCACATTCACTAGTTTTTATAAGTACTCTGTTTCTATTTTTGGCCTATAAATCTCTTGTGCATAACGTGTTCTGGTAGTTTATTACCTTCTATAAGTAATGGTATTTCCATATTTCCATATAATGACTCTGAATTTCCTGCAAGGGTCTTTTTTATTGCACATTTTGTTCACATGATCCAGAATATAATTTCATCAGTTAAGTCCAGACCAAGGAAAATAGTCCATCTTCACTGAACAAAGATCAGAAAATCTCAACCCGCAAGCCCCAAACTGCAACATAAATCAGTCAGCCACCTCAAGCCATGAGTGGAGACAGAATAACCTGAGAAAAATCAGATCTTATACTATGTATGGGCAAGGATCAAAGAAGGACCACCTTAAACATGCAGAAACTCCAATCACAGAAACCAATATGAAAACTAATAAAAAAGGGGGGGGGGAGTTTCAGCCAAAGCAAAGATTAAACTGCCCTGTAGAGAGATCTCTACTGTTGAAAACATACACAGGATCCACACACACACAAAAACACATATAAATCTGGGAGTGCCTTAGTGGCTCAGTTGGTTAAGCGTCTATCTTTAACTTAGGTCATGATCCCACATGATCCCAGGGTCCTTAGATTGAACCCTGAGTCAGGCTCCCTGCTCAGTTGGGAGCCTGCTTCCCCCTCTGCCTCTGCCTCTCCCTCTGTTTGTGCTCTCTCTCGCTCTGTCTTTCTCAAATAAATAAAATCTTTCAACAAACCCTACATATAAACCTATATAGAAGATAACTTCCTTTGAAGAGTTTATAGAAATTATAAAATATAGAAGACATTCATGTTATTAAAAGTGCCAAAAGATACATAATAAGTTATGTATTCATGATAAGAACTTAAAAAAGAATAAAAGAAAATGTGTGTGTTTGTATGCACAGAGTACCTAATGAAACTCCAGGATGCCTGGAACTTAATGGACGTTGAAATATTTCTGAATAAATGTTGAATGTAGTTGTTGAAGACAGCTGGAGTGAGATAAGAAAGATCGATAGAAAGAAAATGCAGGGAAAGGGATTTATTGGGGGAAAAGGCATCATTGTGCTAAAAGAATGCTTTTTGGGGAGGTAGGGAGAAAAGCATAAAGACAAGGAATTAGGGGCGCCCGAGTGGCTCAGTTGGTTAAGCGACTGCCTTCGGCTCGGGTTATGATTCCAGGGTCCTGGGATCGAGCCCCGCATTGGGCTCCCTGCTCAGCGGAGAGCCTGCTTCTCTCTCTCCCCCTCTCCCTGCCGCTCTGCTTACTTGTGTTCTCTCTCTAGCTCTCTGTCAAATAAACAAACAAACAAAAAAAAAAAAATTAAAAAGACAAGGAATTAAGTCAGACATTGCCAAGTGTTCTGTGTATTTTCTTTTTCTGTCTTGATCTTTTTCTTCCCATTCCTCATGAGATAACTATTATCCAGATATTTACATTTTATAGATGAGAAAACTGAAAGTTGGAAAGATTAAATCATCTATTCAGGGTCAGTGGCTAGTTAGGCCTAGAATAGAACTGAGTAGCATCTCACCTAATGGTCATCTTCTTAGCTCTTCTGTAATGGCTCAGGAGAGCCTCACAGTCTTGTATTTACCCTTGAGTTTACTTGGCAAATTCTCAAACCTTTGTTTATATAATGAAATATCAGACTTCCTCATTTTGATTGCTGACTTTATTATGAATGTGCAAGTAGATTAATAAATAAATTATATATATATGTATATATATACATAATATATATATATATATATATATATATATATATCTGAGGAGCAGGCCACATACTGTAGGCCAATGCTTCTCAGACATTATGAAAAGGCCTGTGAGTCCCTTGGGCATCTTGTGAAAATGCAGATTTTGATTTAATAGTCTGGGTTGGGAGCCTGAGATTCCTTTCCAACAAGCTCCCTGGGCTTTGACATTGCTAGTTCCTGGACCACATTTCAGAATAAAGCTCGTGAAAACATTGACTTTCTTCCCAGGTAGAGTTCTTTGGTGGGATCTTTTACTGGCCACTAAAACCTGTGGCTCTTCCCTTTGTAGGTGGCCCTGGGGTCCGGCTGTGCATCAGTGACGTATTGCCCATCCTGGCAAAGATGCTTCATGGCCACAAGGCAGAGCCCTTGCATCTGTGCCACCGGCTGGACAAGGAAACTACAGGTGTAATGGTGTTGGCCTGGGAGAAGGAAGTGGCACATCAAGTACAAGAGTTGTTTAGAACCCGTCAGGTGGCAAAGAAGTACTGGTATGAAGCCCATTGCCAGTGGTAGAGTTGGTATAAATGAAGGCATCCTTTTATCTCATTGTCCATTCATATGGAAGGACCTCCTGTTAAGAGAAGGCACTGTGCTAGGACTCATGGGCGTATGAAAAGAATAGGAAAGAGACTTAAATGCTTAGGATCTTGGAGTCTGTTGGAATAGAGATTCCTCATTGTGGTTGTACATAAAAATTATTGAAAATTAATTACACAAATAGTACATGATTTTATTCCTTTGGTAAAATCATCAAAAAACAAAGATAAAGCAAAAATTTTTTGGAGAATCTACCCACTCTGTTGTTCTAGTCCCTTCCCGTGGGATAGTTTGGTTTTTATTCCTCTGGTCCTTACTCAATGTATTTATGAACATGTCTGATATATACAGTGTGTGTGTGTATTACATTGTACACTGTACACTGTACTTTTTTTTTTTTTTTTTTTTAATTTTCTTTGAGAGAGAGAGTGAGCACAAGCCGGGAGAGCAGCAGTCAGAGGGAGCGGGAGAAGCAGGCTCCCCGCTGAGCAGAGAGCCCAACATGGGACTCAGTCCCAGGACTCTGGGATCATGACTTGAGCTGAAGGCAGACACTTAACCCACTGAGCCACCCAGGCACCCCAACACTGTACTTTTCTTTTACTACTTAACTATGTCTTGGAGATCTTTCCATGTTAGTGCATATAGATTTACCTCCATTTTTTTTAATAGAAGAAAGACAGATGAACAAAACTGAAACCTACTCCTCTCCTCCATCAACTCAATTTTCTTCCCCAGAGGAGATCACTGTTCTAGTCTTCTGTAAGCTTCCTGCATACAGGGCATGGATAAGTGGATTATTATATGGCACTGCGTTTTGCACTGCTTTGCATCCTGCTTGATTTCACTTGGAGAGCATTTTGCATGTACCTTTAGAGCTCCCTAGTATTCTGTTGATGGCTGTATCATCGTTTCCTTATTGACGGACATTGAGTTAACTTCCTATTTTTCAGAGTCTGTTGCAAAGAATACATGATTATATCTTTAAGACAGATTCCTAAAGGTGGACTTGCTAGGTTGAAGGGTATACACATTTAATATTTGCTTTTTGTTGGTGGTGATGGTTTTTTTTTTTTTTTTAAGATTTATTTATTTGAGAGAGAGAGAGTGAGTGAGTGTGAGCACATGAGCCAGGGGAGGGGCAGTGGGAGATGGAAAGGGAGAGAGAATCTCCCGCAGACTCCCAGCTGAGCGTGGGGCCTAACACGGGGCTCCATCCCAGGACCCCAAGATCATGAGCTGAGCTGAAACCAAGAGTTAGATGCTTAACTGACTGAGCCTCCCAGGTGCCTCTCACACATTTAATATTTGAATAGTTACTATTATTACGTAGGCCAGGTTTTCCTCCCACTAGGGTAATGAGGACCTACCTCCCCCTACAGCTGACCAGCGCATTTTGGGGGTTTGCCACTATGATGAGGGAAAAAAAAAATGTTTTCTATTTCCCTGTGTATCAGTGATGTTACTTGTCTGCATGTTTATTGGGTTCTCCTGTTTTTTTGCGTTTCCCTTTCTGTGAACAAACCATCTCTTTCCTTTGCCTGGTTTCTGTTGGGCTATTTATTATTTTCTGTTTGATTTGTAGCTACTCTTTTTATCTTTTCGAAGTTAGTCCTTTTTGTGCTACAGATTTTGCAGCTACTTTGTGATCCTGGGAGCCTTTTAAAAATCTCTATGCCAAGACCCACCCACAGAGGCCCTGATTAATAAGTCTGATGGGTATGGGCATCTGAATTTCTTAAAAGCTCCACAGCTGAGTCTGCTGTGGAATCAAATGTAAGAACTGCTGTGATAAGAGGTTACAGATAATGGCAGAGGTTTAGCGGACTAACTAAGCTCAACAAGATCTGTGTTCAACTGTCAGCTGTGTCGTTTACCAGCATGGGTCCTTAGGCATGTTCTTAAACGTCTCTAAGCTTTGTCTTCATAGCAAAAATGAGAATAATGGAGTTGAGGAGAGAGTTAAATGAGACAGTACATATTGAAGTGTTTGACATAGTACCTAGCTCATAGTAAAAGCTGAAAGACAGAAAATTGAGACTATCATGTATACTAGTAATCCAGATATAAGTCTATAAAAAGTGTTGGGGCACCTGGGTGGCTCAGTCGGTTGGTCAGCTGACTCGATTTCGCCTCAGGTCATGCTCTCAGGGTCGTGCTATCAAGCCCCACTTTGGGCTCCACGCTCAGCAGGGAGTCAGCTTCAGGATTCTCTCTCTTTCTCTCCCTCTGTCCCTCCTCCTGCTTGCTCATGCGCACATTCTCTCTCTCTCCAGAATAAATAAATCTTAAAAAAAGATGTTATATTATTTGTGAAAATTGTTTATGAAAGTTTAGACTTGGTAACCATTCTATGGAGGAATTGAAATCTGTTCGTTGTGTGTTGATGAATGAACAGGATTTGATAGACAAGATGGAGAACTGTGTTTTAGGTGGTGGGAATGCATACACACAAAGGATGAAAGCAGGCAGTGTAGTTTGGAGTGGGGAATGGTGACAGATAATGCTGGAAAGGTAGACTGGAACCCAGTTAATGATGGCCTTAAATAGCAGGTGCACAAAGTAGGAGTTAGCAGTAGAGCATAGCAGGCGACTGATTAACATCTACTGGCGTACTATGATAGCAACTTGTTATGGTTGTTTGAATCTTCTTCTTTTTTTAATTTGACCTACAGAGATTACAAGTAAGCAGAGAGGCGGGGGTGGGGGGCGGGGAAGCAGGCTCCCTGCTGAGCAGAGAACCAGATGCAGGGCCCCATCCCAGGGCTCTGGGATCACGACCTGAGCCAAAGGCAGAGGCTTTTAACCCACTGAGCCACCCAGGCGCCCTTGTTTGAATCTTCTTACTAGACTTTGAATTCCTTGAGAGTGGGGATGTTGGTCTCGTTCATCTGTACAGAACTAGTACCTCCCTAAATCAATGCCTGATTATATTCCTGGAGTATGTAGTGAGTGAACATTTTTGGGCAGTAGTGTTCTGTCATTAGGAAGAGGGAGCTGGCAGTTAAAACTCAATTTAAGTGTGGTAAAATCTATCAGATGGCAGCCCAAACTGCCACCAGCCCAAAATGAGGTGTCCAGTGTGTAAATTGTTGTGGGAGTGGGCTTCGATTCGATAGGCCACCCAGCAGGATTCCATCATTGACCTAGAGGAGGCATACGCGTAGGAACAGAAGAAAGGGTCATCTCCCCATCTCTGACATGATGAAAGGAGACCTCCAGCAAAATGTTTATTGAGTTATGGGGGTTGTTTCTGTGACTTTGAGCCGAGTTCCCCTGTTTGTCTACCTGGCAGATCGGGTAGGTGCGGTCCTGTGACTTTTTCAATCCATTCATTCATTTACTTATTCATTCATTTCATATGCAGTCAGGACTTAACCATCTTTTAAAAAAAGGATACAAAACCATATTATCCTCATTACTTTTTTTTTTTCTTAAAGATTTTATTTATTTATTGGACAGACAGAGATCACAAGTAGGCAGAGAGGCAGGCAGAGAAAGAGGAGGAAGCAGGCTCCCCGAAGAGCAAAGAGCCTGATGTGGGGCTCCATTCCAGGACCGTGGGATTATGACCTGAGCCGAAGGCAGAGGCTTTAACCCACTGAGCCACCCAGGCGCCCCTACCCTCATTTCATTTTAAGATATACATACTCATTTTGGGGGGCACCTGGGTGGCGCAGTTGATTAAACGTCCCACTCTGGGTTTCAGCTCGGGTTGTGATCTCAGGGTGGTGAAATGGAGCCCAGGCTCAGGGCAGAGCCTGCCTGGGTTTCTCTTTCCCTCTCCTACTGCCCCTCCCCCTCACACGCACTCTCTCGCTCTCTCTCTCTCTCTCTCAAATACATAAATCTTTTTTAAAAAAGAAAAAAAAACTATACATATTCATTTTTAAAGGTTGGAAGGAAAGACCATGTTATAAATATAATTTTTTGTTTTTTTCCCCCCAATAGTCTATAATTAGCATACATTACTTTAGTAGTAAAAAAAAGATGTGTTCATAAGAGTAGAATCAAGCTCTCAGGCTAAGTGCTATGACAGCCTATGACTTGGGATGCTCCGTTCTTAAGAACTGACCACAGTAGAGCAGAAGGTCCAGTGTTACAGCCTCTAAGTAGCCAAATCTGAGGATCTCCCCCCCTCACCTCATGGCTTAAGCCAGGGTCTGTGTGTTACGCCCAGGACCATCACGGTGCGCGTCCCCGTGCCCCCGGCGGGAGTCGTGGACATCCCTGTCATCGAGAAGGAGGTGCAGGGTCAGCAGCGGCACTACAAGGTAGGTGAGCTGTCATCCCCAGGGGCTTGGCTTTTCTGCTCTTCTTTGCAACTGTGTCTTGATTTCTTTTGGTGTCAGATGACGCTGTCCCCAGGCTTCCGCATGGAGGATGGGAAGATGGTGAGAGCACGGAGCAACCGGAAGGCACACACAGCTGTGACTCAGTACCAGGTGCTTAGCAGCACTCTGTCCGCTGCCCTCGTAGAGCTCCAGCCCATCACCGGTGAGGCACCACCTTTCTGCTGGGGGATGGCAAGAGCCCGGGCTGCTGAACCACGTCCAGGGCCTCGCTTTGGGTCCTGCCCTTCTTCCGAGCAGCTGGTGCTGTGAGAGGGCTGGGATTGCAGCTGACGTGTTTGAGAGTGTGCCTCTGGTGCTAATCCGAGGCTGGGAGCTCCAGCGGGGATGGCTGTTTAAAAATAGTAGGTAGCAGGAAGATATAAATAGTTTGCTTACATTTATTTAAAAATCTGCAAAGCGGTTTCTCAAAAAAATTAAACACAGAATTACCATATAATCCAGCAATCCTCATGGGTATCTACGCAAGAGAATTGAAAGCAGGGGTTTGGAAAGATCTGTGTACAGCAGTGTTCGTGGCAGCATTATCCCCAATACCAAGAGGTGAAGCCAGTCTTGATGGCCACCGCCAAATGAATGCGTAGACAAAGTGTGTGGGCAGATGACGGAATGAGTATGTCTTGAAAAGGAAGGAAGTTCTGACATGGGCCACAATGTGGTTGGACTTGATGCTAAGTGAAAGAAACCAACATAGAAGGACGAATGTTGCGTGATTCCACTTATGACACACCTAGAGCACTTAGATTCAGAGACCAAGTAGAACAGTGGTTACCAGGGGCCGGAGGAATCCGGAAGGAATGGGGAGTTGTCGTTTAATTGGGCCAGAGTTTCAGGTGGAGAGGATGCTTGTGCTCTCTCTCTCTCTCTCTCTTGCTCTGTCTCAAAATAAATAAAATCTTTCAAAAAATGGTTAAGATAACATTTTATGTTATAAATATTTTGCTACAGTGAAAAATGTGCAAAGCACTACTATTTAGCATTCTATAATAATGTTATCTAAAAATAAAACAGGGGTTATTGGGTGGGTCCCCCCAGTTAAGCCTCCGACTCTTGACTCCGACTCTTGATTTCGACTCAGGTCACGAGCTCAGCGGTGGTGAGATTGAGATTCTCTCTTTCCCTCTCCCTCTGCCCCCACCCCCTGCACATGTGGGCTCTTGCTTTCTCTTTGTCTCAAAAACAAAACAAAAGTTAATTAAGCACGGAGAGATACCAGGTTGATGATAATGGTTATCTGTAGTGGAAAGGGAGCTAAGGGGGAGGGGAACTTAGAGTCTTAACGGCATGTGTGATCTTATTTCCTACCAGCTTATAGTTTGTTCTGTTCTTCTTTATACTTTGGTGTAGGTGCAGCCTTGCCGGTCTTACTGTGCTTCAGTTAAATAGGGTTAGAAGCACAGTAACGCACAGTATGGTTTCTGGAGCTGCTCAAGTTTTCTCTCTCTCTTTTTTGTTGTTGTTGTTAAGGAGTAAAACATCAGCTTCGAGTTCATCTGTCTTTTGGACTGGATTGCCCAATCCTTGGGGATCACAAGTACTCAGACTGGAATAAGCTGGCCCCCCAGGTGACCCCTGCTTGTCTGTGCAACAGCTAAGATGGGGGGAGCTTTTGCTTTCCCCTTGTTAAAGTCCGACGTGAGTCACCGCAAGGATGTTTTGACTGTACTGTACTAGTTACCCAAACTAGTCACCTCGCTTAGAGAGAAACAGCTGCTGTTCTCACGGAGCTGCAGGATCTGTTCGCAAAACCCTTGGCTTCATTTGTTTGTCTTGGATTGTGTTTGGAGGCGGGACAGGCGGGGTTGAGGGGGGGCACTTTCCTGAGGCTTCAAGCAGCCTTTCATGCTCTTGGTGAAGATAGGTGGGGGACACTTGTTTATCTCTTGTTGTCGTAGCCCATTCTCTAAGAAGGCCAGAGAACTGGCTGATAAGAACTTCGCTGGCCTGGTGGTTTTTCTCTCACCTGGGTTCCAAACCCTTCCGGAGAATGTCCCTGAAGCAGGCTGTCCACCGCTGTGCCTTCCAGGGGAGTTAGTGCTGGTTCCTTTAAGTGGAAAATGTCTGTCCCTGTGTGCTGCTCAAGGACGAGCTCTTGGCCTGGCTCTCAAGAGGCTGTCTTGTCTTTGTACAGAAGCTGTCTCTTGGTACCCTGAAGAAGCTGGGCCTGCACCAGGCGAAGGCCCGCCACATCCCCCTTCACCTGCACGCGCGCCAGCTGATCCTGCCGGCCCTGGGGTCCAGGAAGGAGGAGCTCAGCTTGGTCTGCGAGCCTCCTCGCTTCTTCTTCCGCTCCCTGCAACGCTTGGACCTACAGACGCCAAGTCAGGATCAGAATGGGGGCGACGAAGCCGGACGTGAGGGCGCAGTTAAGACTGCTGGGCTGTTGGGACCCTGAATCCTTCACTTTGTTTCATGGACTCTGCTAACTTCTCATTTGGGACAGACTCCAGAAGAGCCAGGTGTGGGAAGTGGAAGAAATTCAGCTGCTTCCCAGCCTTTACTGGACACTAAATCCTATTTACTGAGACACTGGCCGTACTCTGGAAAAGCCTGCGGGGAGTCTCCCTGCCTCCCAGTCTCCTTGCCCAGGGGGAAGAGAGCCCAGGACCAGGCGGACTGGGTCCATAATTGAAAAAGGAGAAACTCGAGCACAGAATCTGTGCTCCGAAACTGTTCACGTCCAACAATAAACCCCTTGATCTATCCGGAAGGCTCCGGTGGTTGGAAAGAGCACGTGGCGGTCATCTGACTGCTGGAGAAATTCAGAAGCAGTTAGCCACTGTCCTCATGGATGTTCAGGATCTAATAGCAAAACCTCTCTGCTCCACTTGTTTTGTCCCAGATGCTAGAGACCCGTCAGAAGGCAGGATTCTCTCCAGCCGCAGCGCAGGAACCTTGTTGCAGTAGTGACTAGAGCCTGCAAAGGGGTGTTGTAGAATCGAGAAAAGCAGATGTGAAGGCCGGCCGGCCGGCAGGCCCTGATGGAGAGCACACACGGTCCGGAGAGTGGTTAGCTCCAGCTCCGTGCTGCTCTGTGGGAACAGGTTTTCTCTCCTTTTCCTTCATTTTTTTTTTTTTTGATTTCCCCAGACCCCTAAGAAGGCCCTAGTCTCTAGTGGTTTAAGGTTCGTGGGGGGGGGGGGGGGGCACGACCCCCCCCTTGTACAGTCAGAAATCCACATGTAAATTTTGACTCTCCCGAAACTTAACTGCTAGTAGCCTCCTGTCAACCGGAAGCATTACCAATGACACAAACAGTTGATTAACACATATTTTGTATGTTTTGTGTATTATATGCTGTATTCTCACTCAGCCAGAGAAAAGAAGACGTTATTAAGAAAATCATAAGGAAAGGAATACATTTACAGTTCTGTGCTCTATTTATCAAAGAGAAATCCGAGTATAAGTGGCCTGCGCCATTCAGACCCATTTTTGGTGGATCAGCTATATTTATGGGAAAGCTCCAAGTGTATTAACTCACTAAAATGAATGTGTAAAACACAGCTGTCCCCAAACCCAGGTGGTCACCAGGTGTGCCCTGTTTCCCTCTAGAACCCCTCCTCTGAGGATGGGCTTTCCTTGCTAGTCCCACCCCACCTTCTGAGCACCATCTTCACTCCCCACCACCTCAACTAGCGTAGGGCAGTTCCCACCAGAAACCAATCGCAGAGGGGAGTCTTAAGACCACTCCCCCCCCCCCCCCCCCCGCCCCGCCGTCCCTAGGGGCTGGGCAGGGCAGGGTGGTACTGATTAGGACAAGGACACCGCAAAACACTTCCTTCTGTTTTCTCAATCTGCTGTCCTTGGCTCTCCAGCCTCTGGACTGCTGTTAGCCGGAGGGCCTGGTAGGGTATACAAAGACTCAGCCTTGTATCCGGTCTTGCAAAGCGGGCCATGGGGCGGGGGGTACAGACCCCATTTCCCCAGTGCGGTTGGGGGGGTGGGGGAGTGCTGCTTGGTGCACTGTAATCCCAACACTGATGACCCGGGGTCAGGCCAAACCACAAGTTAAGGGCACGGTGTTCCACACGACTCCACTCCAGACACCAGCTGCAAGCTCGGGGCTTCCCAGACAACCCCCCACCCTTCTGCTCAGCCTAGGGGAGGAATGTTTCCCTCACCCTGTAATGGGTTCATGGGGTAAAGGAGCATCTGGCTCCAAAGGCCCCAAACAGGCCTGGTTCAGCCCCAAGGCAGAGAGACAAAGGCAGAGGAGTGGTGGGGAGACAAACGGATTTATGCCCGTGAGACCAACGCCGGGAAGACAGCGGACTCATGTCACAGAGACTGTCTCTGAAGTGCTGAAAATACTGCCAGGTTTACAGGAGGAATATGTGGGACAAAGGTCAGTGGGTCCATAAGGGTGGGCAGTGAAGGTCAGGTTGATTGTTGTCTCGCGTCAATCGTGTGGGTCTTCGTGGTATCAGGACAGTTGTTACTGCTGGAGGGGGTAGTCTCCATTCCTATCAAGGGATGCTTTGCCCCCAGGGTCCTTTGCCTGAGTTAAGAGATAAGCTGGAAAGAATCTAGAAGTACAGACGGAGGTCTACGGCAGGTAGCTAAAGTCCTCTTTCAAACCCTCTACCCTGACTGGCTCTAAACATTAAACTGATAGAAGAACAGGAGGTAAATATACACATTTATGTGATACAAGTTTTACATGGCATAGGGGTCTTCAAAAGACCCCCCCAAAAAACCAGACTTGTGTGCTTTTTGGGTTTTTTGTTTGTTTTTTAGTTGTCTCCACACCCAGCGTGAAGTCCAAAGCAGGGCTTGAACTCACGACCCTGAGATCAAGACCTGAGCTGAGATCAAGAATCAGATGCTCAACCCACCGAGCCACCCAGACTTGTATATTTTTGCGCTGGGTGTGATGAGGAGTGGACAGTCATGGAATGTGGTAAGTTAAGAAGGAGTGTGGGGTAATTGTACATTGAGGGAAACTTAGCAAAGCCTATTAGGATTCTTCTTGACATTCCATTGTCTGTGCACAAAGGAGATTCTCCTTTCCTCTGGTATAAAGATGGCATCTCTCAGGAAGGTGTGATCTGTTTCAGAGAAGAAGGATGGGGGGGGGGTGACGAGGTCCAAGTCACCTTCCTGTTTCTGCCATTTTCTCAAACTTCTTCAGCTTAAAATACTCAGTATGCCAAGGTACCATATTTTGGGGTAGCATTTCCTGAATCCCATTGCCAAGTAGCTACAAATTATGGGATTCCCGCTCTCCCCTCAGGATTAGTAATTCACTGGCACGACTCCCAGAACTCAGGAAAGTGCTACACTTGCCGTTTTATTAACAGCAATCACAGGATAGAAATCAGGAGCAGCCAAAAGGACGAAAGGGTGAGGTCTGGGAAGGTCCCAGACTCAAAGCTACCCTGTCCCCTCCCCGAGGAGTTGGGACACAGCACACTCTTCACACTCTGGTGTGTGTCACCAGCCAGGGAGGTGGCTCAAGCTTCCACGCTGAGGTTTTTGGTTTTGTTTTTTTTTTTAAGATTTTATTTATTTACTTGACAGAGATCACAAGTAGGCAGAGAGAGAGAGGGAGGGAGGAGGAAGCAGACTCCCCGCCGAGCAGAGAGCCTTGATGTGGGGCTCGATCCCAGGACCCCGAGATCATGACCCGAGCTGAAGGCAGAGTCTTTAACCCACTGAGCCACCCAGGCGCCTCCCATGCTGAGTTTTTTTTGGGATTCATCCTTCAGCATGATTGATCAGCTCACTGGCCAGATGACTGAACTCAGTCTAGTTCCTCTTTCCATCTCCACGCCCCGACCTCCAATCACCTGGGTGATCGTTTGGCAAGGCCAGCCCCCATCCTGAAACGACCTGGGAGGCCATAGAGTCCCTGCTGATGCCAACCATCGGGACCATCAGAAGTAACAAAGCCACACCTATGGCTTGGGAAACTGGATTCAGGGGCTTCCTCCCACAGACCAGGGACAAAGGCCTGGCAAATTCCTTGCAACATTCAGTTTCCTTTCCAACCCCCCCCCTTCAGATCCCTTTGCCTTTCTGTGCCCCAGGGAGTGACAGCCTTGGTGGCTCCCTGTATAGATGCCCCCATGCCCTGGGGCCTTAGGGGCCTTAAGGCAAGCGACCTTGAGATATTTCTGTTCACTTTCTCCCTCGCCTCCCACTGAGCACACTCCCACCTGCTACAGTCCACAGGGTGAGGACGGATTGTCCTCAGGCGTGGTCGTCACACAGTACAGGGAAGCTCTCCTTTCCTGGATCTTTTCGCTCGCTGTGTGGACGCTGTAGGCTTTTTCGCTTGCTGTGTAGACGCAGTCAGGGAGCGCTACCAACAGCCTACACACACGGTAACCCATGCTGTCTAGTCCCCACCGGCATGCCCATACCCACCACACGCCATCCTAGATGTGTCGACAGTCAGAAGCCCCATGCTGTTCGTATCACCTCTTTAACACCACCCCCCGACCCGTCCTGCCAACTAATTCCCATTCTCACAACGGGGCTGCTCTTTGCCTGTTCCCAGCTCACTCCCTGGGACTCCTCAATGGCTGTCTGCAGAATGTCTTCTGGGGAGATAAACATACAAGTAGGGAGACTCGTGAGGGGCCCATGTAATAGTCCAGATGAGCTGGGACAGGTTTGGAGACGAATGGACTAGACAGGTTTAAAATGAAGCTCAGGAAAAAAAAAAAAAAAAGGAAGGAAGAAAGAAAGAAAAAAAAAGAAATGCAGCTCAGAGGAAGTCCAGTGGGTACAAGTGATCGAGTATGGCATGGAGGTTGAATCTAAGACGACTCCCAGAAAGTATGAACAACCAATTAGATGAGGTGGGTAGGCAATAAATAGGGAAGGAACAGTTTTTGGGGTAACCCTCCCAGTCCCAAGTGAGTGCACTTCACGCATCCACCAAGGGAGGACCAAAGGACGGTGGTTACCCAGTGCTCCTGAAGCACGGCGAGCGTGTGCCTGTCTTCATCATTGAGCCCTGACCACAGAGCATCTTCATCACTTCCTCTAATTATATCTGCCCTCCCCCAAGCTGTGACCTTCTCGTGGGCAGGCACCGAATGTCTGTCTCCAGCCCCCAAGCCCTATACTTGTAAACCCTCCGAAAGTGACTACGGACCAGAGGCAGCTGTAGCACTGGGGGTGGGATGGGGGGGGCATTCTCAGGCTCTGGAGTCAGATGGGCTCTGGGTACACATTCTGACTCTGCTGTTTATTTGCTATGACAGTGGGTAACTTATTTAACTTATCTGAGCCTCAGTTCACTCACCTGCAAAATGAGTTTAACGAGAGTACCAGTATTATATATTTTAAGGATTAGCTGAATTTGTATTTAATTCCCAGAATAGTTCCTGACATATTGTAAGAGCCCAGGTCCTGTGATATACTAGGTTGAAACAGGTTCACTTTGCCATTTGAAAAACGTTTTTTGACATAGAGTTCACATACTATAATATCCATCTAAAGTGTATAATCCAAAAAAAAAAAAAATAAAGCATATAATCCAATGGTTTTATGTTCACAGAATCAGACAACCATCTAACCTAATTTTAGAAAATTTTCACGCTTACAAAAAGAAACCTTATGCCCATTTAGCAGTTGCTCCACATTCCCACTCATACCCAGCCATGCCAACCACTAATCTATTTTCTGTCTCTATACATTTGCCTATCTTGGATACTTCCTATAAATAAAATCATGTGATCTAGGATCTTTTGTG